ATCAATATCTGGAATCGCACAGACAACTCACATGCTGCACGGACAACTCACGTGCTATAATATCAACATCTGGAATTGCACGGACAACTCACGTGGAGCCCGACAATAATGATATGATATATCAATAAATAACTAAGACTGAGATATAATATGAATGCATGAATATGACTGAGTACGAAATATCAATGAAATCAGTGAGATGACAATAAGAAACGACCATTATGGGTCCAAACAATATCGGCATAATGCCTAAACATGATATCTAGCATGATTGACACCTTAACTACTTTATCACATGGTGAAAACACGGATATCAACAAAGTAGGACCACTATACAATGCCATGAAAACAACAGAGTCCTAATTCACATGGTGCACGCCCACACGCCCGTCACCTAGCATGTGCGTCACCTTAATACCAATCTATAACACGTATTTCGGGGTTTTATACCCTCAGCACTAAGATTAGAAGGGTTACTTACCTCGAACAAGCCAATATTAATGCCGAGCAAGCCAAGCGATGCTCCAAAGATGCCATCCCGCGTGTTCCGACCTCCGAACGGCTCGAAACTAACCAAAAACAACTCAAATGCATCAAACAATGCTAAAGGAACCAATCGCGATTGAAAAGATCAAATCTTGAATCAAAAGCCCAAAATCGGCCAAAAACCCAACCCGAGCCCGCACCTCGGAACCCAACAAAATTCACAAAATCCGACAACCCATTCAATTACGAGTCCAACCATACTAGTTTCACTCAAATTCGACTCCAATTCGATGTTCAAAACTCAAAAATTCATATTATGAAACTTTAGGCCAAAACCCCCAATTTCCTCTTTAAAATTCACAATCCAATTACCAAAAATGAAGGTAGATTCATGGAATAAGATCAAAACCAAGTGTAGAACTCTTACCCCAATCCTTGTGATGAAAATTGCTCCAAAAATCGCCTAAACCGTGCTCTAAAATCCAAAAATGGGTGAAAAATCGCGAACCCTCGAACTTAAAGGGTTCTGCTCAGTCAATCCGCACCTACAGACAAGAGGTCGCATCTGCGGGGAAAATCTTGCTTTTGCGAGAACAGCTTGGCCAGCCATGATCGCTTCTGCGATGCCTAGCAACGCATCTGCGGCCGCGCTTCTGCGCGCATTGCCCGCTTCTACGGGCCTCCTCATCCAGCTCTCATCTTGCATCTGCGATGCCTTTGTCGCACCTGCGAGCCCATTTCCGCATGTGCGAAAACACCAGAACCAGCAGCCTTCAACAATGCAATATGCAATGAAATTGATCTGAACCTCGTCCGAAACTTATCTGAGCCACTCGGGACCCCGTCCGAATATACTAACAAGTCCAATAACATAACACAGACCTACTCGAGGCCCCAAATCACGCATAACAACATCGAAACAATGAATCGCACCTCAAATCAAAATCTATGAACTTTGAACTTTCAAATTCAATAACTCGTGCCGAAACATAGAAAAACTTCAAATTTTGCGCACAAGTCCCAAATAACATAACGAAGCTATTCCAATTTCCAGAATCAGATTCTGACCCCGATATCAAAAGTCAACCCCCCGATCAAACTTCCCAAAATTCAACTTTCACCATTTCAAGACAAAATCAACCACGGACCTCCAAATCAAAATCCGGATGCGCTCCTAAGTCCAAAATCACCCAACGGAGTTAACAGACCCATCAAAACTCCATTTCGGGTTCAAATTCACAAAAAGTCAAACTTGATCAACTCTCCTAATTTAAAGCTTTAACCATGAAATCCATTCTTCCAATTCGATTCCGAATAACCTGAAAATCAAAACCGACAATTCACATAAGTCATAATGCATCATACGGAGCTACTCATGCCCTCAAACAACTGAGCGAAGTGTAAATGCTCAAAACGACAGGTCGGGTCGTTACATGTTCCTTTAATTCTTTCAACTCTGGCGGGGCCATATAGTATGGCGGAATAGAGATGGGCTGAGTGTCCGGAGCCAAATCAATACAGAAATCAATATCCCTGTCGGGTGGCATCCCTGGCAGGTCTGCAGGAAACACCTCTGGAAACTCGCGAACAACTGCCATTGAATCCATGGAAGGAACCTCCGCACTAGAATCGCGGACATAAGCCAAATAAGCTAGACATCCCTTCTCAACCGTACGTCGAGCCTTCATATACGAGACAAACCTGCTGGAAGAATGGCCAGGAGTCCCTCTCCACTCTAATCGATGCAACCTCAGCAAGGCTAAGGTCACCGTCTTAACGTGATAATCCAATATAGCGTGATAAGGTGACAGCCAATCCATACCCAAAATGACATCGAAATCAACCATATCGAGAAGTAGAAGGTCTACACTAGTCTCAAGACTCCCAATGGTAACTACACATGAACGATAAACGCGGTCTACAATAATAGCATCCCCCACAGATGTGGACACATACATAGGATCACTCAAAGAATCACGAGGCACAACCAAATATGAAGCAAAATAGGATGACATGTAGGAATAAGTAGAACCCGGATCAAATAGAACTGAAGCATTTCTACTGCAAACTGAAACAGTACCTGTGATAACAGCGTCACATGACTCAGCTTCAGGCCTGGCTGGAAAAGCATAACACCGGGGCTGGGGCCCATCACCCTGAACTACATCCCTGGGACGGCCTCTAGCTGGCTGGCCTTCGCCTCTAACGGCCTAACCTCCACCTCTAACAGTCTAGCCTCTACCTCTGGCTTCCTGACCCCTGCCTCTAGCTGGCTGAGCAGGTGGTGCAATAACTTGTGCCAGAACTATGGCACGAGAACCCTAATGTTGTGAGCTACCCGATGCCCGAGGGCAAAACCTAGCAATGTGCTTCGGATCACCACAAGTATAACAGGACCTTGGCTATTGTGACTGCTGACCCTGAAACTGACCCTGTCGACCTGAGTAACCACCCTGAAAACTCTGGAGCGGAGGTGCACTAACAGGAGCTGGTGGTGCACTATAGGCAAGCTGGTCCGAATAAGGCATATAAGGGCCACGACCACCTGAGGCACCGTGGGATTCCTGGAGTGCTGAATGAAATGGCCTGGGAGGATGGCCTCTACCAGAAGTACCCTTGCCTCCATATGAGGCACCACTCAACCCCCCGAAATGACGTGGTCTCTTGTCAGACCCCTGACCTCCCTGAGCAAGAACCATCTCGACTCACCTGGCGACATTGGCAGCCGCCTGAAAAGAAATCTCACTCCCATTCTCCTTAGCCATCTGCAATATGATAGGAGGATCAAGTACGTCAATAAACCTCCTCACACTCTCTCTCTCTCTCTCTCTCTCTCTCTCTCTCTCTCTCGGTAGGAAGCATAAGAAGAGCATGACGGGCCAAATCCACGAAACGGATATCATACTGAGTAACATTCATACTGTCCTGCTGGAGACGCTCGAACTTACAACAATGCTCCTCTCTCAGTGTGATAGGGAGAAACTTCTCTAGAAAGAGCTGAGAGAACTGGTCCCAAGTAAGAGCAGGCGACCCCGCTGGTTTGGTCAACAAATAATCTCTCCATCATTTCTTGTCGGAACCAGTTATCTGAAATGCAGCAAAATCGACCCCATTAGTCTCCACTATACCCATGTTCTGTAGCACCTCATGACAGCTGTCAAGATACTCCTAGGGATCCTCTGAAGGAGTACCACTAAAGTGAACCAGGAAGAGCTAGGTAAACCTGTCCAATCTCTATAAAGCCTCAGAAGACATAACTGACCCATCACCGGTCTGTGACGCAACAACCGACTAAACTACTCCGACTGGGTGAGCGGTTCGAGTCTGATACTGGGGAGCCATCTGCTCCAGAGTGTGAGTAGCAGGAGTCTGGGCTCCTCCTCCAACCCGAGAGATGGCTGGTGCCATGGGAAATGCGCCAGTCTGGGCCACACTCTCCATAAGGCCCACCAAACGGACCAAAGCGTCCTGAAGCACTGGGGTGGCAATGAACCCCTCCAGAACCTGAGCTGGTCCGACAGGCATAGCCTGAGCTAGAACCTCCTCATCAAACTCTACCCAAGGCCCCACCGCTGATGCCGCTGCTCAAGCTCTGGGCTGAACTCTGCCTCTGCCTCGGCCTCTGGCACGACCTCGGCCTCGACCTCTTCCCCTCGTAGGAGCTGCCACTGGAGGCTCTGGCTGCTGCTCAGCTGAAGATGCAGTACGTATTCTCGCCATCTGCGGAAGGACAAGAATATAAGAGTTCAATCAGCAATGATAGAATAAAATCGCACGACATAGAAGAATAGAAGTGAAATGGTTCCTAAACTTCATAGCCTCTGGAAGATAAGTACAGACGTCTCCGTACCGATCCTCCAGACTCTACTAAGCCTGCTCGTGAATTGTGAGACCTAGGAAACCTAGTGCTCTGATACCAATATGTCACGATCCGGAATTCCCACCGTCAGGACCGTGATGGCGCCTAACATTCCACTTGCTAGGCAAGCCGACATTAGAGAATTATTAAGACAATCCTTGTTCAATTTAGTAAATAACAGCAAATAAGCTAAAATGGACTACAGCGAGTGCAGAATAATAAAAAACTTTATTAATTACTACCACTCGGATCTGGAGTCACAACTCACGAGCTACTATGATTTACTACAAATAGAGTGTGAAAAGGAAAAAAAAATATACTATTTTGAAGTAAGGAAACAGTAAATGATAAAACTAGGAAGAGACTCCAAGGTCTGCGAACACCAGCAGATCTACCTTGGGTCTCCTGACAGCAAATCCAAGCTGCTAAGCCTCATGGTCAGCTAGGACCGGTACCAAAATCTGCACAAGAAGTGGAGAGTGCAGTATCAGTACAACCGACCCCGTGTACTGGTAAGTGTCGAGTCTAACCTCGACGAAGTAGTGACGAAGCTATGACAAGACACTCACATAATAAACCTGTGCAGATAACAGTATATGTACAAGAAAACAACAGTAACAGCTAAACATGTACTATTGGGAGGGGGACATGCTAAAGGGGCACAAGATATAGGAGATACAACGAAAATGATAACTAGAACAGTCAACATGCTTTTAACCGGTGAAAACAACTAAACACAATGAAGAAAATTGCACGGCATCACCCTTCGTGCTTTTATTCTCAACCTCACAATATAAATCAATAGATACGGCACGGCATCATCCTTCATGCATTAACTCTCATAACGTGGAACGACATCACCCTTCATGCATTAACACTCACAATATGGCACGATATCACCCTTCGTGCATTAACACTCATAATATGGCACGGCATCACCCTTCATGCATTAACACTCTCCCTTACCATAATGCAATGAATAATTAATAACAGGGAGATAGAATAACAAATACAAGCCTTACTTCAATATTTGGTTCCACAACATCAACCTCAACTTCGGAATCAATACTCAATTATCACCAGAAGGTCCACAAACATGATAAGAACGATCAATTTAATAATACTAGTCTAAACATGGATACCATGAACAAAGGAACTATAATTGCAAGAAACCAAGCCCTCACCCGCATGCTTTAACCTGACTATAACGCATAAGTACTCGTCACCTCACATATACGTTATTCCCCAACATCTAAACATGTAGCAAATAGACAAACAAGTCTTATTCCCTCAAGTCAAGGTTAGACACAACACTTGCCTCGCTCCAAAGGCCACTCAATGCTCAATTACCACTTTTTCTCTAGAATCCACCTCCAAACCACTCGTATCTATCCACAAATGACTCAATAATATCAAATATTACTAAAGAAATCAATTACAATGCAAAAATTTAGATTCCTCAAACTTTCCCCCAAAAAGTCAAAAATCGATCCCGGGCCCGCTTGGTCAAAACCCGAGGTTCGGACCAAAATCCATTCACCCATTCACCCCCGAGCCCGATTATATAATTTATTTCGAAATACGACCTCAATTCGAGGTCTAAATTCCAATTATGCAAAAATCCCTAATTCTACCCAAACCCCCAATTTTCACCATGAAAATCCAAGATTTTAGGTTGAAAACTCATGAAATGTAATGGGTAATTGAAAGAAAGTAGGTTAGAATCACTTACTAAAAAATTAGGGAAGAAAATCTTTTAGGAAAATCGCCTCTAGGTCTTCTAGTTTTGAAATTTTTGAAAGAATGGCAAAATCCCGTAATTGGGACTGTTTTATCACTAGGCGTCA